TATTTAAAGGGAACGGGGTTGGGGAGAGACGGCAATCAGCCGCGCTTTCTTTATTTAAGCACTAATACAGGCTGAGAACATGAACTTTTCAGAAACAGTTACTCAATTTATTCAGCATCATGGTCTAAACTTCTGACAGCAAGTGTGACAATGTTTCTGCTTCCATGCCCCCACTATGTTCCCCTGATCTTTTATATTTAAACAAAAGCCAACACATTTACTTTCAATATGTTTTCTTTGGTCTTTTAGAGATGAAATCTTGCTATTAATGACTTGCCATTTAGACTATGCTGTATATAAAAAAGGTAGGTGTAATAAGCCAGAGCTTCAACCCACACCTTAAGTAATGTGTGTTCAATTCAATTTAAGTCTTTGCTGTTGGACATTTATTTTTATACCTTTGGTCACTTTGTCTCTTATTAATGAACAAAGAAATATCATTATCATTATCCCGTCAGCCTCACAAGCATCGTGTGGCTCAAAAAGATGTGGTAATAAACGGGTGTATTCAACACTATGAAAATGAACAACTTTAAGAGTTTTAACAGTCATTGGAGGAGGAAAAATGGACATGAATCAGGCCATGAAAACAAATCTGAGCTTCCATTTATCCTTAATAATGCTTACTGCAAGGGGAAATGTGAGAAATATACATTAAAATAAAATAAAAAATACTGATTATAACAAACCAGCTTGTTTGTGGTTTTTAAGTTGGATATATAATATGGAGAGAAATATGTCTCATAAGGGTTACAAATGCATACGACATTATCCACCAGCGTAAACTAAGATTAACAAATGTGTGCAGTGATTTGTGTGTAATGTTTGAGGACTCACAAGCACGTGCTTCGATGAATCAAATAAGCTGCTGCTGCATCCTGAAATGTTTTTCTGCTGGGGAAAGTCAGTGAGTGCTCAGCTGCAGATGTGGAAACACTGTGGTTGTGTTGATGTTAATTTTACCATTGTACAATAACAGCAGGCTAACATTAAGGAAGGAATACGGAGGAAGCCCAGATGATGGACACAGCTTACATTTGTGGATCTGCAAAGCTGGCAGCATGAACTTTGTCTCACAACCCCACACGGGCATGCGTGGGGTCATTTACACTTGTGGATGATTCGTACGCATTTGTAACCCTTTCGATACATACATTTCTGCATGAGATAAAAACTGCCAATGAACTCTCAGCATCAGTTACGTGTCTCGTGCAAGCATACTCTTTGCTCCACATTTAGTTTGCTGGGATGTGATCTGCCTCGTCTTAATCTGTATTTTTATTACAACTGGTGGCCCCACAGTACGGAAGGTGTGAACATCAGGTAGGTGGGATGTCAGATCACACATATCTGCTCTCACTGACATCATTCAGAGCCAAGGAGAGAAAAAAAAACTTCAGAGTTTTTAGAGCCGTCTGAAATGTGAGCTTTTGGCTCTTAAGTAGTACAAGCTGACCTCATTTGGTCACATCTATTAGAACTATCCAACTTTGTAACACAAAGCGCAAATCACTCTGGCCTGTGGGCGCCGATCAGATGTAACAGAACATTAGCATGAGTCTCGCAAAGCACTAATTATTTTCCACTGGGTCATTCACTGTTCAGATGTCAAGAGCACATGTGTGTGTTTGCTCTTGCTGCCAACAACAGCTAGCAAAAGAAGCTGTGATGATGGAAATTATGGGTGGACATGGAGGAAGTTGCTCAAGGTTGGATGGTCAGTCTCTTTGGCAAGACCAAGGCTAAGGGCAGTGACTGCATATCTGTGACACTGCAACCTTATAGACGTCCTGATTGCCTGTTTACAGGCACAGTTTGTTAAAATAGGGTATGGGTATTTACATTTACGTCCAGACCCACTTCACCACTAGAAGAGACACGTAGCTAATACTCTTAAAAACATGGTGATAATCAGGGATGCACCACATATCAGATATTTGGATCCAATATCAGTCTGATCCCATCTCACAAAGGTAGACTGGTAACAATGAGCTTATTTAAGGAATCCATCTATTGAATTAAATTCTGTGTTGTTAGCTCCAGAACAATGGTTGTAAAATGGAGAGGTAAGTTAGCACAGAAGAAGCTAAAAGCAAAGCTTTAGCAGTTTGGAGATATTTTAGAGGGATTTGGGTTCAGTTTGACACTTGGTAAATCTTTACT